GTGGTTGTGCCTTTCCCCCCATAATCATGAAATCAAAGCCTTAAAGAAAGCTTTGTGACACAGTAATGCAAAATCAAATATAATGGCATACATATGGTGCCAAGTACTAAAAATTATATTTTAAGCTATATATACTGAAAGACTGCCAAAATTGGTTTTTTTTAATATATTTCAAGAAACAAAAACTACAAGCTTTTGTCATAACCAGTTTAAACTTTGTGTATACTTCATTTTAAGTGCGGGAGTCAAATGCTCTTCATTCTCTTTCATTTTTGCTGTATTGTAGCATTTTGACTACAACTGGTTAAAACTAAAAATGTGTTCTTTAAATCTCTGACATCCAAGAGGGATCCGAATTTCCAAAGTCCTCATTTTTCTCTTACGGAAAGGAAAAAATGTACATAACTGTAGGCTCTCTTTCTTTCCAGATATTCCTAATCCTGACCCTTCCAACATCCTTCACCCTCTATAAAAAATAAGTTTACTCTTCTTTTTTTAAGACAGTGGCCTCAAGAGCATCATCTTTATGGCAAACACTGTCTGCATTTAGTGCATTTAAGTGAGGATTTGTATTGCACGTTTTAGAGTCATTACTCAAGGCACTTTCAGACTGGTTGGAAGCCCTGACATCTGCTGTATTCCCATTCATCTGGGAAGCTGGTTTCTCCTCGTTCGCTACTCCATTTTCAGCCAGGGATCCTTCTGAAGACACAATAGAGGATTTAGATTCCTCTGATTTTGACTTTAGTTCTTTGGCCACTTCTTCTGCTGAAGCAGCATAAGGTGGTTTGCCCTAATAAAAGAAGAAAAAGGAAAAGCAGAAAAGTGGGAAGGTTGCAAGCACTGCTGAAGAGATTACTCAGTGAGCTAAGGCTTCAGCAAAATATTTTGACTCCTGCTCTCTAAGACTCTCAAAGTCTTCCCCATGGTTAAAGTAAGTCTTAATGGGAAAAACTATTCAAAATAAGCGCAAAGAGACACACACTGGAGCAAAAGGTCATAGCCACACATCTTTAAGATCTTGGCAGACTGATCAGGAAAGGTGATAAGAGTTCTGAGTCATCGGACGGCCCTCAATAATGTTTGTCAAAAATATATCCCATGTTGAGGATGACTAGGAAAAGATACTGATATATGGTGTGAGCATTCGCAAAACACTCTGTACAGTCTAGGTCACTGCACTTGAAAAGAAGATATGATAGAACTAGAAAAAGTACTAGAAAGGGGCAATGAAAATGATCACAGGACTAGAGCAATCTCCCTGTAAGTACCAGGCCTCTTTAGGAAAGAAAAGAAAAAAGACAAACAAGAACAACATCAATTGAAAAGTAGAGAGTCAGAACAGACTAAAGTAAATACTACTTTTCTCTGTCCTTTGTAGTGTTCCTGCACTACAAGAAGCTGCCTCTTGCCACAGGGAGACCTAACTGCTCTCAGAAAGCAAGCCACTCAGTCCCCCCAGAGATGGGGTCTCACCCATACTATGTGGCCTCTTCCCCCTCACTTGAAGAAGAGCAACTTAAGACAGATTTTAAAAGCACTCATGGAGAATAAAGTTATCCGTAGTTATTATCTATGATGGCTATATGTCATTTCCCATGTTACAGGCAATATGCTTATCAATAACAGTTAATGCGGGACACTAGCATGAGGGTGATGTTGCATTTGTGTCCCACATAGGCTTTGGCTGACCCCTGTGCGACAAGGGAGGACTGAATGGACAGGTCTTAAGTCATCATCACAATTCTTCTCTGGTTCTTAAGGACTGGAAACACAATCCACACTCACACTATTATTAAATGTGACTCTAAATTTCCTAAATGCTGTTTCACCAGTACCTGAATTGTTCCCTGGTTCTTATAAGCTCTCCCGTAGTATCTTCCTCCTCTGCCAAATGTTCTTATCACAGGAGTGGAAATAACTCCTCTAGGCCGCCTACACAGAATGAGGAACAAGTTAAACATATTTAAATGTATTATATTTAACTTCTTAGAAACATATAGTTTTGTACTTCTTGCACATCAGCATGAATTCTTTTGCAAATACAACATAATCTATGGTGCAGTCCTGACAACAAGATGGGTTGCTAGAACATCTGATTTTTGTAACAAGAGTTCTTTTCATACAATATTTCTTCTCTCTGAATTTTGGTCTTCTTGCTCAGTTTTAGCGACATAAACCTGTTTTCAGTAATAACTGATAATTGCTTTTATCATTCTGGGTCTAAAATAATCCTACCAGCAAAACATGCCCTCAAATACTACTAATTCTCATGAGACAGAAAAAGAAGGAATAGTACTCTTTTTCTAAAAATTTAATTTGCTAGTGTAACTTCTACTTCTCAATTTATTACTCAGCAGTCAATATTTCCTGACCTCATCCTAGTAGGGCCCATTGTTTCACTTTATCATATCTGTTCCCAGCTCTACCCACTGAGCCAGCCACAGGCCCCTCCTCAGCAGAAAGGAGTGTAAATGCTTTCTTTCTTCAGATGAGCTTTGCTTAAACAAATGAGGATTCCCTCTAATCCAACAGGTCTTTCTGATGGTCCTTTCCTGACTTCTGATTTGTAATAAGATTCTGATTGGTTCTGGTTTTGTTGTGTTAGGTGGCATCAAGTTGTGTAAAACTTATGGCAACCCTATGAACAAGTGATCTCTAAAACGTCCTATTCACAACAGCTCTACTCAGCTTTTCTCAACTCAAGCCTGTGGGTTCCTTGAGGGAGTTAGTCTATTTCATGTTTGGTCTCGGTATCTGCCTGCTGGCTTCAACCTTTCCCAGCATTGTTTTTCTCCAGAGAATCCTGCCTTCTCATGATGTGCCCAGAGTAGGACAGTCTCCATTTCAACATTTTTGCCTCCAAAGACAGTTCAGGCTTCATTTGATCTAAGACCTACTTGTTTGTCATTTGGCAGTTCAGGATATCTACAAGCTCTCTTCCAGCACAGTATTTCAAAGAAAACATTTTTTCCCTGTCAGCATTCTTCACTGTCCCGCTTTCACTTTGATGAGCCTTTCTAATTCCTTCATTTCTATCTGTCCCAGTCTGTTTTCTTAGGATTCCTTGGTTGCGCTTTCCATTTGGATTGGTGATTGAACCAAGGTATACAAAATATTTAACAATTTCAATTTCTTCATTGTCAATGTTAAAACTGTGCATTCTAGCTCCATATAAGGTAGACCCTTTCATTGCAACACCTTGAGTATCATTTTGCTTGCATGGGAAATTAAAGTAATGGTTTTATAGTTACTGCACTCCTTGGCATCACCTTTCTTGAGGACTGGAATGTACAGTGGTGCCCCACATAGCGACAATTATTCGTTCCGAAAAAATTGTCGCTATACGGATTTGTCACTATGCGGAACAAAAAAGCCCCTTGGAATGCATTAAAACACGTTTAATGCGTTTCTATGGGCAAAAAACTCACCGTTATGCGGAAATCCTCCATACGGCCGCCATTTCGCTGCCCGGTAAGCGAGGAAAGGGTGCGAAAACACAGTGGGCGGCCATTTTTTTACCCGGCGGCCATTTTGGAACCGCTGATTAGCTGTTAGAAAAAAAATCGCTATGCGAAAATCGGCAAGCGAAACAGCTTACCGATTGTCGCAAAGCAATGTTTTACCATTTAAAACATCGCAATGCGATCGCTATGCAGATTCATCGTTAAACGATGCGCTCGTTAAGCGAGGCACCACTGTATACTGAATTTTTCCAATCTGTGGGCCATTCTTTTGTTTTCCATATTTGTTGGTACATTCTTATTAGGATTTTTGAGGTCTCCGTGGCTTCAGATAGTTATGTTGGTATTCCATCTCATAGATCATAGGCATCCTTCAGTCTCGAGAGCCTATGGTAACGTGCTCTTGTATGGAGGACTTGGAACAGCGTCTAGTGTTTAGACACTGTACGCGAAGCTGGAGTATCCTCTCCAGGGCACAAAGCCTGGGTAAAAAAATATGGAGGATAGGCTGTTACCCAAGCAGCAAATCCCCCCTCTCCACGTCACTGAAATAGTCCAATGGAAAGGCAAGAGCCAATACAACTGGTTTCAGCGATGTCACAGGAGTTGCCAGAACGACACGAACTGCCTCCGGGACTCCGGCTCCGGATTTTGCCTCAAGGTTAACTCCTGAAGCCTTTTCCATTGGTGGATATAGCCACAAGGCAGTGGAGGTTTGAAATCGGAGTTTTCCTTCTCCTAGATGGGCTGCCTTCCAGGGCTGATGAGTCCCACCTACCTGGCCTGCTCGGTCATGGCATGGAGGCCGATGGCGGCGCCTCAGTGGAGGTTTGAAGTCAGAGTTTTCCTTTCCTAAGCACAAGCTGCTGACAAAGTGCTGGATTAAGCTGCCTCTCATCTTCCATTTCTGATGATAGTATCATGCCTCCAATTTCATATCTTCTTCAGAGTCATTGTAACTTTTCACTGGTGATCCCTCCCCGCCGCCTATTTCAGTTCCCAAATTGTTAGAATACTTCTAATACTGATGTTTTGCTGGAGGAAAGCTCTTCTGCTTTTTGCCCTTTTTGGTTTTCAGAAGTTACCACTTCATTGCAGAAGTTTTTGGTACTTCTGCAATAAAATCTGGCTGTTAAAGAAGCCCTTTAGGATCCAAAAAATAAAGGTATATTTTAGGATGCCCAACAGGATGTTTAGGGAAACCTACAAGCAAATTTTTAAAAGGAATACCTGGAAGAAAACCTTCCCCACCCACCTCTATGTCGGAAGCATCCTGCTCAGTCCAGTGAAATAGATTTGACTTCCTCACCCCAGTTGTTTTGTTGGAGGAAAGGTCTTCTGTCTTTTCCAATTTTTGGTTTTCAGGAGTTGTTGCCAATGTTGCCATGTTGAGGACATGATGACTCTACCTAAAGTCTCTGCTGAAGACTTTATAAATGTGATGAAAAGCGACATCACAAAGTGTGGTCAAGGCATTGTTACCCGGTGTGGGGGTGCCATTCCCAAGGTTGCTAAGTCACATGGGTGTTGTAGAGTACCTGCGCAAACATCAGTCCCGTTCATGGGAGGCAACATGCAGCTTTAATGAGAAACTGGCGAACATGGGTAGTTTTAAAATGAAATGTTAAAAATGTGGGTAGTTTTAAAATGATAATTGTGTTTGTTATATACAATCAAGTTAGAAATGACTTATAGCAACCTTAATTGAATTTTTAAGATAAGCGAGATATTTAGGGAGCAGTTATTCCATCTAGCCCTGTTGATTTAATGCTTCCAAGTGCTTTCAGAACAGTTTTCAATTCACTTTCTAGAATTGCTGGTTCAACATCATAGGATTACTCTTCAAAGGAATCTGTCACTCTTTCATCTCTTCTGTATAGGTCTTCAGTATACCATTCCCACCTTCTCTTTGTTTTCTTATGGTCAGATAGTGTGTGTCTGTTCCCTCTTCTATTTCTTTGCATTTACCACTATAGTAGTTCTGGTTGTCTCTAAGTGACAGTTGTTGAATAGCTGTACTCAGGATTCTAATCCTATTTCTGTCATTTTTTATTTTTGTTTCTTGCCTATTGTTTACAATTTCAAGTGTTTTTCCTTTCTTTTGCTATAGGAATGGCCTTTCTGCATTCTTCCCTAGTAACATCTCTGGTTTAAACCCACAGTTCCTCTGGTTTATGGTCATTTTAGTAATGCAAAACCCTTCTTTATAGGGACTTTAAATTAATCAGAAATGTTCTTTAAATTCTGTATCTTGGCACTAGGATTGTTTTAATATTCTTCAATTTTACTTTAATGTTTGTTATTAACAATTCATGATCAGCACACAATCTGCTCTTCTTTTCGGACATTTCTTGCTTCCAATTGCATGGTCTATTTCAGAGGTCTCCAATCCTGGTCTGTGGCCCGGTGCCGGTCTGTGGCCTGAACCAGACTGCCCACTGAGACAAACCTCCCACCCCGCAAGCACTCACCACCGCACAGCTGATTTGCGCATGCATGTGTGCTCCAGCGCACCTGTGTGAGTGTCATGGCACTGTTTGTGCATGCGCACGAGTGCCCACACAAGTGCCACGCCGCTGTTTGCGCGTACACATGAGCACCCGTGCCTGCACAAGCGCCACTGTTGGCACATGTGCACAAGCGCTGTGGGTTCCCCGCCTTCCCCAGCCAGTCCGCGGGGTGAAAAATGTTGGGGATCCCCGGTCTATTTGATTTCTATACTGGCCATCTGGTAATTTCTATGTACACAGTTGTCTGTTTGAAGCATGTATCTGAGATAAACAGAACTCTATGAGTCATTCTCCAGCTACATTTCCAATTCTTGGCCAAATTCTCCAACAACATTTGGTTCTTCTTTGTGTCCTACTTTAGCATTTCAGTTACCTATGATTATAAGCATGTCTTGTTTTGATGTGTTATCAATTTCTTCCATACTTAAAGCATAAAAGCTTTCAATTTCATCTGCTTCAGCATTTGTAGTTGGAAAATAGACTTGACTAATGTTTATGCTGATAGCTTTTTGCAAAATATATTAATATTAATCGGTCAGACCTCACATTAAAGCCCTAATAGCCAATGCTAGGTCAGTATTAGAGCCTCTCCATTTCTTCTGAGTTTATCATTTCCATAGTAAAACATTTTGTAGTTGACTGAAAATGTCCCATTCCGGTCAGTTTTAGTTCACTTGACAGCAACCACTGCAATATTCAAACAATCTGCCTTTTGTCCTCATGGTTTCCAGTTTAACTTGATTCATACTTCTCATGTTCCACGTTCCAATTGTGTATGTCATGCAGCACTGGACTTTCCTTTCACCTCTGTGTGCATCAGCCACTAAATGTCCTTTCGGCTTTAATCTAGTTGCATCACTAGTGTCAGTGCTACTTGAACTTGTTCTTTCCTCTGTAATGTTTTTAAATTATAAGACTACGGCCAAGATCCAACAAACACTTCCATGAGTTGAACAAGGAGGAGGTAATCCCAGTAGCTGACTTTGTGTCTTCTGACCTGGGAATGTGATCTTTCAGCACTATCGTTTTATTTTGGACTGTCTCATGATAGAGCTTTCAGAGTAAGAAAGTTTCAGCAGTGGTCACCTCTGCCTTCTTCTGCACAGTATTGTCAAAAGTTAGGTTGAATGTTGCAGCTGTTGTCTGTGAATCTTCCATCAGTTTCTCCTTCAGCTACTGCTGCCGCCCATCAGCTCCCCTCTAGAAGTCTTTCCAACACTGGAGCTATCCATTCTCTTCTGCTGATGCAGCCATTACTCCTGAAGAGGCTAGATCATTTTAGACTGCTGTCTCAGCTGTGAACATTCTACCTTAGGTGGCTTTGCTAGGAAACCAGGTTCGTAATGGAGTTTAGGCTACTGATGGTATTCCTCTTAGCTTCACTGATATACTTAAACTCCCTCAGCACATTAAGGTGTGGATCCAAGAAGCATGTAGCTCATTTCAGCCAAACTCTAACCCTGACAAACTTGTCCTAGGGTTTAAAAGATGATTTGTTTCCACTAATCACAATCAAGATTACACTGCGATTATGGTTTAGACAAGGGGTCTCCAAACTTTTCACACGGAGAGCCATACAATATATTTTTGAGGGCATTGCAGCTGGCCTAAAAACATATGAGAAATTCTTATTTCCTCATGGCTACCCTGGAGGTGTGAGGAGGACACACCTGAATCTTGCTGTGCCTTATCTCTGAACTGTTACCCAAAACAGGATGAAATTACTTCTTTAGTAAAAATGGATAACAAGATAGTCCCACAGATATCTGGATCAGTTCAACTGGACAAAGATATCAACTGTAATGCTTGTTTAATTATAAGATAAGATTATAAATCCACTGTAATGGATTTAACTCCACTGCCTATCAATTTCACACCTTCCAATGTATTTCCAGGCTCAACTCCAAAGTGATGGTGATCATTCTTGGCCTAAGATACTTTAAGGAGTGACTACAGCGACACGAAACTACCAACCACTAAGTTGATAGTTGAAGATGTTTCTTGTGTATTGTCTTCTCCACCTTCAGAAGTGAAACTGAGGGTAATGTGCAGGATAGCTTCTCCATGGCAGCATCCAGGATGTGCCATTCTCTGTTCTAGGAGATCTATTCAGTTCCTTTTTTGATGGGAAAAGTTCTGGCTAATGGTATTTTTGATTTATAATGTTGTTTGTTGTTTCATTGGGCAGTATCCTGTTTGTGCCAGCGCAAGATAAAATTATGCTAGCGTAAATGTGCCATTATGCCAGACAACAAGGGTCTGTGCCATGCAACTGCACAATTGATCAATTTTCCCCAGCACAACTAATTGCACAATGAGCTGGCAGAAGTGCTTCTGGGACTGCATTTCCAATATAATCATTATGCAACTCCCTTGGGCATAACCTTGAGCTGCATGCATGTACTTGCATAACAGGATTTTGGCTACAGTATGACAATCTGCTGCTCTAATTCATCAGTGTAGGAGGATCTTCTATGAAACATGGGAAGGTGTCCCCACCCCTCTAGCTAGAAACAGGAGAACTGTGTTGTACTATCCTCTCCAAGACTGTCCTTTGCCATCTAGCATCTAAGGCTCAGATTTTGACTGGAGTGTCAGTTCTCAAATTAGCAATGCCCAGCCTGGAAAAGAAACCTTGAAAACAAATTTCTAGCTATGAGACTAATAAAGGTATCACCCACCCTTGTCTTCATTTAGTAACACAGGGACTACATATGTGTTATTATTTCCACTTTTAGCTTTAAGTGCTAGGAAGCAGAAACACTAGTGTCACCACCATACAAGCATGAGGTTGCTGACCAGACCACTGCTGCAAGGCACCATCTGTCACAGCAACTGTATAAAAAGACCAAGTTGCAACCTCTTTCCTCATAACTGAATGTCAAGATTAATTTCCACTGTTTTCCTGCTGCTTACCCTCTTGTTGGTCCTCCGACAGAAACCACTTGCAGAGGAAAGGGCCCTCTGCCTCCTCGACCACGTCTGCTTCCAGCCCAGTGGCCTACCACAGTGCCAGCTATCTCGAGTTTCCCTCCCTGAGAAGGAATAGGTTGGACACCTGAACAAAGAACAAAAACGAAGAGGGTTCTTTGCAACTGCGACATCGGGAATGGAAAACAGAGGCACCCCTTCCCCCTGTTGAAGAGAGGAAAGGGTCATAATTCTTTGGACAGTTACTATAGGAAAGCAAAACAAAACAAAACAACAAAAATACAACACGTCTATAGAGGCTTTCGATCAATATTCCTTTAATTTAATTAAAATAATGAATTGGAAGATTTGGGGTCAACATGATCAGCATCATAATTTAAATTAATAATATCATCCATGCCAAAATTGTATTCTCACATAATCCATGCCTCTGTCCAGGATGAAATCTTATTGGAATCAGTGGGAGAAGGAAAGCAGAAGCTATCCTGCACGCACAGTTTTTCCATGTTTACGTTTAATGACTTAAAGGGTTAAACAGGGGGACTAAATTCGCAATGGAGAGAGAGAGAGAGAGAGAGATTTCAGAGGCTTAGGTCCCAAGGTGTCTTAAGCCACTGGAAAAGGGCTTCTGCTTCTTGTGAGGCAGCTTTCATTAATTTTGCCAATTCCCCTCCTGCCCCAGCATGTTGTGATCAGTTGCTTGGAGTGTATGTGTGTGCACGGCTGCATGTGGGAAGTTACAATGAAGAAGAGGAGCCAGAAAAGTCCCACTGCTTTTGTTCCTCTAAATCCAACTCAACTGCTTTATGCATTAACACTACCATTCAAGGTGTCTAAAAACAATTCTAGTAACTGTACTGACCTACTTTCAACTATTCCACTGGATCACCACAAACACATACTATGAAATCAAGTGGGTTGGTTCACATTAAAACATTGTTTTCAATCCTGTGATCTTCATTACTTTTTATTCCAGCATGCATCCTGTCACAAATGTGAATGTTCACATTTGGCTACTTATAGATTAACACCATGTCATATAGACAACAGCAGTCATAATCCATCTAGGCAAGGAACATTGGCTAGATATGACCAATAAAACCTACAACAATGAAAGGGTTAAAAATGGGTAGTAAAGTGGTTACAAATTAGGCCACAATGTTACTGCACTAATTACTACAGCATTACTTGCAAATTCATGAGTGTTTGTTCCTCCCCTGATGTACTATGAGCTCTCGTAGTACACCAACTGTTTTATTAGGTTACCAAGAGCTAGAAGTGTTTGTAATTTGTTAAAGCTTTGATGCTAGAGAATGTATAGGAATTTTTAGGAAGTAATTAAAACTGACGGATTTTTGTCTACCTTTTTAAAAATAAAAAGTAGTAGATTCAGAATAAATCTTTTTTTTTTAAAAAAAGGTCCATTTAAAAATAGGAACTTACACGAAACAGTGGCCATACAAAAGACTTTCAGGTGTCACTGTACAGTATGTTCTACTACATTCATCAACAACAGATTTCAAAATAAACTAATTTTCCAGTATTCCAGGTAATACATGTATACATAGGCAAAACAGAGTTTTCCACGAACTTCTGACAGATGTTTAGCAGAGTAGCAGCAGTTAGTCAATAACAGGGCAACAAACTTGGGAGCAGGTTGCAAAGGAACGACAGGTTACCCACCTGTAATTGTGGTTCTTCGAGTGGACCTCTGTGATTCACATCCTGGGTGATCCGTGCCTGCGCGGAGCCTCATCAGGAAGTTTTAGAGCTTCTGCAGTAGCAAAAACCACATTAGAATAAGGCCCCTCCCCGTCGTATAAGTACCATGGCGCCAAGGCTCCACTTTCAGTTGTGTCACCTGCCGCTACATTGAGCAGAATGGCGTTACAGTGGGGAGGATGTGTGGGATGTGTGAATCACAGAGGTCCAATCAAAGAACTACAATTACAGGTGGGTAACCTGTCGTTCTTCTTCGTGGCCTCTGTGAATCACACCCTGAGTGACTAAAAAGATGTCTCACCCAGAGGCAGGGTGTCACGCCAAGTTAGAGGCTAGAACAGCATGTCCAAAGGCCGCATCAGACTTCTGCTGGAGATCTAGTCTATAATACTGGATGAAAATGGGCACCTGTGTCCAGGTAAGTCTTCCTAGTGGAGGACTTCTTTGATTGATGGAGGACATTCATTAGCAAGGCAGAATCCTCCATGCTGCCAGGTGCAGAACAGGTAAGTCTGGGTGGAGTACTTGGGTGCTGTTCTGCGTGAGGAGGTGGGGCAGGCGAGGAAGGTGGTGAACGTCTGATGAGAAATTGTGAAGGACTGGAAGCCAGGGTTTTCTCGGCCACTAAGGAGCTATAACGATGGCATCAGGTTTGTCTCCTTGTAGGCAAACCACAACCTTGTGAAGAAGCGGGAACAGCGGAAAAAGATAAATGAGGGTCTTGGGCCATCAGCTGACAAATGTAACTCCTTGGGAGTGTTTGCCGATGCCAGCTCGGGAGCAGTATCGTTTACACTCCCGATTCACACAGGAGGCGAAGAGGTCGAGAGTTGGTTTGTCCCATCGTTTGCACAGGCAAAGAAAAACTGATTGGTCTAACTCCCATTTGTGAGCTGGAGAGTTTGTGCGGCTGAGTAGATCGGCCAAGTTGTTGTCATGGCCGGCAATGTGTAAAGCCGTGGGGCTGATATGATGTGCTAGGCACCACTCCCAGAGGTCGACGGCTAAATAGAGGGGACTTGGGTGCCACCTTGTTTCAGAATATAGTACATTGCCGTGGGGTTGTAGGTGGCAATTTGTACCATCTTGCCAGCAAGGAGATTTCTGAAAGCTTTTATAAACGCCAACAGCTCTAATTTATCTTCTCTCTGGAAGACCACTTGGCATGGATTCATCTTCTCTCTGGAAGACCACTTGGCGTGGATTTTTAGAGATTTGCAGTGAGCACCCCAGACTGTGAGGCCAGCGTCGGTGGTGACCTGTATTTGTGGCTGTGGTTGTCAGAATGGGTGGGTGGAAAACCACTGAAGTTGGGAGGTGAGTTCTGGGGTAAACCTTTAAAGAGTGTGAGGAGAGTCTGTGAGCGGGTTGAAGAGGGCGAGAAACCACAACTGAAGAGATCTCATATTGAGACGCACATATTGAGACGTACACTACTGAAGTCATAGAGGCCATAGTGCCTACTACATGTTGGACAGTCAAGGCAGGTACCATAGCATGAGAGGTGAAAACTTGAAGTAATGCAATGAGATTTTCTCTCTTTTCTGGAGAAAGAAAGGTGCGAGCTTGTGTGGAATCTATGCATGCACCTATATAATGAATAATCTTTGTAGGTTTCAAATTTGATTTTTGTTTGTTGACACCGAGACCAAGATAGCGAAGAAAGGTAAAGGTGAAGTGAGTGTCTTTTCTTGTTGGGCCTTGCGACCAGAATGAGCTACGAGGAGCCAATCGTCGATATATAGAAACATGGTGGATTTGGAGATTGAGAGACTGAGTCATACGAATCATAAGTTGGGCGTAAGTTTGGAAGTCTTCCACTGGTGATGGTGGGTCAGCATCGACAAGGTTAGATTCCGGTGAGGTAAGTAATACTGACGGTGTCTAAGGTCTGGATCTATGATCGGAATAATTGGAAACGCTTCAGGAGTCGACCAATTGTTGATCGACTTTGATGTTGATAGGTTGAGTGTCAATAGTATTGACGTTTGTGGCTCAATGTCAATGGAGACAGCGTGTCCATGGGCATTTGTCGGTGTCTGGGATTTTCGATATTGAGAGATGTCATCCGAGTGTTCATAGATCTCGTTTGATATGGTTGAACATTGGTGTCGAACTTGGGGTCATAGTGATGTCAAATTCGATGGCTTGGTTCTGTCAGGTGACAAAAATTGTGCATCAATAGAGGGACAGAACGAGTGTCCATGGATCAGGATGGGTATTGAGGATCATCGATATCAGAGCCTGTGTCTCAGTGATGTCGAAATGGAGGTTGCTGATGTGCTGGTAAAGCAGTGGAGTATATAGATGCTGGAGATGTCGAGCGAGAAGAATGATTTTACTTGTTTGGATCAGCAGGAAAATATTGGGAGGCTGGAGCTGTAAAAGCCTCGCGTGTAGAAGAAAATTGCTTGACTGTCCTGGGCCTTTTAGGCACCAGGTAGGGAGCAGGTTGGAGTTGATGTGGGTCACAGTGATATGGCTGTTTTGACACCGATGGCCGAGCTGGATAGAGCAAATGGCTGACTGGAGGTTTGTCCGGTCGAGCACTGGTCAAGGCAAATGGCAACCCTGTGAGAGTGCTGAAAGTGGGTCTGAGCCACGCGTGATGAAATAGAGAGCTCCAGGGACTGTTGGGGTCAATGTCTCTGAGGCGGGCGTGGTAGACAATCAGATGTTACCGAATACGGTATGGTCTCTAGTTGTTTGGAGTCGACCCTGTCAGGTGAAGCAACTACGGAAGGGTTGCTCGAAAGAACAGAATATTGAGGACTGGGAGGAGATGTTAATCAATCGAATGTCATCCCATTCTAGTGAGGCTCTCAATGCAGCAGTTGAAAGAAACTGAAAGGGGCGCCTTGGTGCCAAGGTACTTATACAAGGGGGAGGGGCCTTATTCTAAAGTGTTTTTTGCTACTGCAGAAGCTCTAGAACTTTCTGATGAGGCTCTGCGCAGGCGCAGATCACCCAGACTGTGATTCACAGAAGCCACAAAAAAGGATTGACAGTTGCAGACAGTTAAAGGGGGATGGTGGGGGGAAAGGAAAAGGAAGCTGGTCATTGGTAAGAAGTCTCAGACCAGAGAAATGAAGGAGGCTGTTGCTGCAAGCTCTAAGAGAAGGGGTTTGGTATAATTACCGCCCTGAAACTTGCTAGTCCTGTTGCTGTCATTGCCCGAGAAGGCTCCGGAGTGTCCTCCCGCAGCAGCCACCCGGAAGGCCCGATAAGCGCCTGTTGCTACTGCTTCCCCATAAGGGCCTCCAAAGCCATAGACTCCTGTGAGACCCAGGGGAAAAGAGACAGGGGAAAACTGTGAGGGGAAGGGGGATCATGTTGGAACTCCCCCGAACAATATGCCACTGA